CCAACTTCCTAACTTTACAAACACCAAAGTTATGGCATTTCCGATCAATCAGTTATATGGCAGCTATAAGATATAGTCGGCCGATCCTTATGAAATTTGGTACGTCGGATTGATTGGCCAAATATAAAACCCATAGAAAGTCCCAACTTCCTAACTTAACAAACAGCAGAGTTATGGCATTTCCGATCAATCAGTTATATGGCGCTATAGGATACAGTCGGCCGATCCCGGCCGTTCCGACTTATATACTGCGTGCAAAGGAAAGAAGGTGTGGCAAAGTTTCAACTCGATATCTTTAAAACTGAAAGACTAGTTCGCGTAGAAACAGACAGACGGACAGACAGACGGACAGACGGACAGACGGACATGGCTATATCAACTCAGGAGGTGATCCTGATCAAGAATATATATACTTTATAGGGTCGGAGATGTCTCCTTCACTGCGTTGCACACTTTTGACCAAAATTATAATACCCTCTGCAAGGGTATAAAAAGGTAATTCCGTTTTTATTAATTTTTATTGTTTCAATATTCGTATTTTTATACCCTTGCAGAGGGTATTATAATTTTGGTCAAAAGTGTGCAACACAGTGAAGGAGGCATCTGCGACCCTATAAAGTATATATATTCTTGATCAGGATCACCTCCTGAGTTGATATAGCCATGTCCGTCTGTCCGTCTGTCTGTTTCTACGCAAACTAGTCTCTCAGTTTTAAAGCTATCGAGTTGAAACTTTGCACACAGCCTTCTTTCCTTTGCACGCAGTATATATGTCGGAACGGCCGGGATCGGCCGACTATATCATATAGCTGCCATAGATTGGAAATGCCATAACTTTGGTGTTTTTAAAGTTAGAAAGTTGGGATTTTTTATGAGTATTAAGAATGCATCATAGGAATAATTTTGGAGAATATAATTATAGAGATATAGTTATTTTTAACGATTTTAAAATTAAGGTTTTACTTTTATAAAATTAACATTGGCTTACCGAAGTTTACTTTTTATTCTAATTATATTTAACATTTTATGCTTATCTAAATGCGTAGAAAACTATGAGACGCTTTTTGAAGTAAAAGTGAAATATATTTTTTAAATTGCTTTTTTAAATACACGACAAATATTATCATTTCAAGTTTCTAAAAAAAATTGTCTCTGAAAATATTGACATAATGGTGTGCTCAGCCCGTTTTCTGCCCCCTTCAAAAAAAAAAAATTTTTCGATGCGATCCGGCTCGTACCGACTTATATTACTACCTGCAATAAATAGACAACTTTTGGGAAAGTTTCAAGCAGATAGCTTTAAAACTGAGAGACTAGTTTGCGTAGAAACTGAACGAACCGACGGACAGACTGACGGACATGGCTAGATCGACTCTAGTGATGTTGATCAAAAATATATTCTTTATATGGTCGGAAATGTCTCCTTTACTGCGTTGCAAACTTTTGACTGACATTATAATACCCTTTGCAAGGGTATAAAAAGAAAATGTTTTAAATAAAGCTTTATCTTTGGCAAACATTTACAAATTATATTTCTAGACTTAAGGCAAAATTATAGTTTTTTTAAAAGCAGCTATAATCATGAAACTTTTCAAGAAGAATAATATTTTTAAAGTAAGGTGAAAATAGTTTTTCATATTTTCATAGCATTACATAATTGATATTTTCGTAAATAATATTATGGAATTTTGTTTTATAGGATTGATATGCTACACTCATCAGATATTACTATTGTTATGGTATTTTTATACCGTTACTGGTAGAGTGTTGTATTCGTAAAGTATGTAACGGGTAGAACCCTATAAAGTATATATATTCTTGATCAGGACCAAAAGCAGTGTCGATTACCCATATATCATGTCTACAGAATATGGTACATGTAACAAAGTCTACATAATATGGTTAAAATACGTTAATCAGCTTATCTTTGCTATTGTCAACCAGCTTAGTATTAACATTTAGTAAACTATAGGACATTCTCATTGCTGCACAGAAATTTACAGGTTTGGATTATATGATTTATAAAACATCTCACGATGGTAATGAATCAATATTTCAAGGGTATTTATATTATTATGAACACTGGTTAAGATTTACAATGTGCTGTAAGTACCAGCATGTAAAACCTATAACATTACAATATTATTGGTGGATTTCCCTGATAACTGTTTTTAATACTCTCTCAGTTCAGGGTGCTTTCAGTCCTAGATTCCAAACAAATTAAAAAGGACACGCTGCACCATACCATATATGGCCTATAGGCTCTGACCCAAAGAACTGATTGACAGTCTTGTGTCGAATTACTCCTGCTTTGGTATCGGTCAACTAGTTGGTTCATTTGCTAGCGAAATTCCCACGCTGCCCACCCCGATAACAAGTCAGGTTATCTCTGGGCGATAAGGCTCCCTTGTGTAGTTGATTACAGTTCCATCCTGACCTAACGTAGAGCGACAGTTGCTTATTTTGTGGACCGGCTTCTTCCATGTTTTCCACAGTGATGTGCGAGTGTGCGATTTTCCCTTCGGCAGTTATTGATATAGACGTCCGATTTTTATAAAACTTTATAATTAATAACGACGTTCTAATTTGCACTTCCTTTTCCCTTTTGTTTTTGTATGAGCTATATGATATAGTAGGCCGGTCCGGCCCGTTCCGTTAGTTAATTTGCTGCAAAATCAGTATTTTTTATAGAATTTTTATAGCCGACCACTTGTTTTTAGTTCAATTTTTGTTTCCCATGTGAAAATACAACATTTAAACAATATGTGTGAAAATTTGTGTCCAAAAAATACATGTTAGTCCGTCTGCCCGTCCTTCTGTCAGTTTCTTTTCTTTCAACTTTAAAGCTTTACAAAAAGTCTTAATCATAAAAAAAGGAAAATCAAATTATATTTTTACTGTTTATACGGTTTTAGTTTAATGAAAATCAGAACAAAATAGCTATTTTTAATATTAAAGACATAAAATTTAAATTTTTAAAGATTGCACAACTGTATCATATATTGTTCTATAGAAAAGATCGGAAGAAAAAATAACAAGAAAGGAAAGCTAACTTCGGTCGGAGCCGAAGTTGATATACCCTTGTAGAATATTATGTATATTATATCCTCCAAAATTATTCATATGATGCATTCTTCATACTCAACAAAAACCCCAACTTCCTAACTTTAAAAACACCAAAGTTATGGCATTTCCAATCGTTCAGTTATATGGCAGCTATAGGATATAGTCGGCCGATCCTTATGAAATTTGATAGGTCGGATTGATTGTCCAAAAATAAAACCCATAGAAAATCCCAATTTCCTAACTTAACAAACACCAAAGTGATGGCATTTCCGATCAATCAGTTATATGGCAGCTATAGGATATAGTCGGCCGATCCCGGCCGTTCCGACATATATGTATACTGCGTGCAAAGGAAAGAAGGGTGTGTGCAAAGTTTCAGTTCGTTATCTTTAAAACTGAGAGACTAGTTTGCGTAGAAACAGACAGACGGACAGACGGACATGGCTATATCAACTCAGGAGGTGATCCTGATCAAGAATATATATACTTTATAGGGTCGGAGATGTCTCCTTTACTGCGTTGCACACTTTTGACCAAAATTATAATACCCTCTGCAAGGGTATAAAAATCTATACAGCTTCGTTGCTTTGCAAACATAATTTTATAGGGTCTTAGTTATGGATTTTACATTTTACAAAAATCTGTAACCTATTTTACATAGCATTCATAGATACAATCATTACGGGCAGTTCTTTCGCTATTACTTCTTAACACTGACGTCATTGAATTTGCCTTTAAAACTGAATTTATTATTTGTATATACTTGTAAAAAACTTGTTAAGCCTGCAAGGGTATAATAACTTCGGTTGGCTGAAGTTAGCTTCTTTCTTGTTATGTCTCAATTTCAATGGTAACAAAACCGAACGGTTTACAAAATAAATTAAAACAGTAATTACGCACGGTTGATGCAATTATACTTCTAGTTCAATTACGTCATACTGAATGCGTTTCGAGCTTACAAAACACTAATGTTTTTTTCGGAGAGCAAATGGGGCGCTAAAACAAAGCAATTAAAAAAAGTTTCTGAAAATTTTAAGTGAACTAAACGCTAAACAATTGTTTCATATGAAATGAGTTAAAATGGTTTGAATTTAAATGAATTACCCAAATGCTAAAACCTTTTGCACACCGGATATTTTTTTTAATTATCACAACTTTTTTTAACGTTCGGGACTTTTAGGTATGTTGTATATTTATTTTGCATCAAGGTTATGAGTGGCTGGTATATTTTGAGGATTACAATGACTTATACAGAATTTAAATAGTTTCAGTGGAAAATATTATTAACGTTTAGAAAATCGGTTTCCAAGCGTAAATATTAGCTGTAATTTCTTTAGAAGCTGGAAGTAGAACCAATTATATTAGAACAGCCCCAGAATGTCGAAAGTATATGAATAAAGGGAAATTTGACTTGCGCCAACCTCTTTTTTATTCCCAACATTGTGTTGCTAGTACTTTAGTTGAATTCCAGTTTATTACCCGTTGACTTTTTGCTGACACTGTGCGTATATTAAAAAGTAATTTTAACAAAAACGTGGCAATTATATAAACATTATACATTTTTGGGTCGTTTACTAAACGCTCCATTAAGAGACATAAATAGCACGCGCTTTGGGCTGGTATCAAATCTATAAAGGCAAGCGACTCGTCGGCTGTGGTTCAAATACTGGTCCGACGTCAAGGCATATAGCTTAAAATTACTAAAGTAGTTATAGTCTTCAAGAAAATCTAATCTTTTTAACTTTACCATTTCTTAGTAACAACATGGTTCACAAATTTGCCTTATTCTTGCTTATCTGGAGTTGCAGCACACTGGCTGCAGACATCCTAATGGCAACTCAAGGTAAGTTTAGGGCCTTAATCATATAAAACTCATTTCATGCATCACTCTTACTCGTGCCTAAAATAACACTTTGATTTTTAAAAAATTTCAGGCGGAACGAAGTCACACAAAATACCATTCTGGGAGCTGGCTAGAGGACTAATAGCCAGGTATGTATGTATGTGCATTGAAAATTTTAAAATATTAAAAGAATGACATCATTGAAAGTTTTAAAAACTTTGAAGTGTTGCCGAAGCGAATATATTACCACAATAGGGTTCGTGGTCTTCTGATCAGAAAAGTTGGTGGAAGGGACGCAAATATTATTGAGCAGCACAACCTGGAATATCTTTATTGACATGAATAAGGTTAAAACCTGCCAAAAGAGCACCCTTATTTTCAGTTTGCCATAGGAACATCCGGAATAATAATTGAAACAAAATTAAAACGTCCTTGCTCTTAAACATTGGCGAAAGGAAATATAACTAAGTAATTATCAGTAAAAATATAAAACCATCTCTTACTAGTCCGAAGACATTTAATAGACATTTTTTTGTTCGAAAAAGCAAACCCAAAATTTCATAGAGTTTTAAAAAATTCAGATCTGCTAAAAATATATATAGAGGTAAGCGGAATGAAAAAATTTAATTTTTACGGGGCTTTTTGTATACTCTTGCAGAGGGTAATATAATTTTGGTTAGAATTTTGTAACCCAATGAAGGCAAAATGTACGACCCTATAAAGTATTTTTATTCATGATCAGCACCACTAGGCGAGTTGAAATACACATGTCCGTCTTTCTCTCTGCTTCTATAACGCTTGTGAGCTGTTTAAAAGCAAGACATTTAAATTTATTTGTTTTTAAATCAATTTAGTATTCTGACTATTTTGTCTTATATAATGTTTTTTCCCATTATTGGACCAATATTTTGTGTTTTGTTGAATTCTATATTAACGTGCCTAGTGATGCTGATCAATAATATATGTAGCTTATGGGGCTAATTTTTTTGAGCGTGCCGATAGAGAGTTCTAGAAAATGAGTTTATTTATTCATAAAAACTTATAGCTATCATTTTGAAGTTATTATATTTTAATATATTATATTTAAGTCTTAATTACACTGGTTTCCAATTATTGGTTAATATTTTTTAAGCTTTGTTGTTTTTAGGAGCTGTTTGCGAACATATCGTTGTTAATAAGTTATTTTATAGTCTTAAATTATTATTTTAAAAATGGATTATTATATATAAAAATATTTTGTAAACATTTTTCTTCATATTACCACTAATCATACAACATATGTTGACTGATTAGAACTTGAGATATTGTGGCTACCGCATCAAAAAAAATAGGTTTCGAGAAAAACGCGTTTAAAGTTTTACGTTAAGTTTCGTGCAGCGTAACTGATAGAATATTACGTATAACTTACATTCTTTTAATCAGCTATCCCAGCTCCATACAATGACCTTCAAACGATTAGTGTAGTATACTGGAAGTAAGGGTATTGTTATAGAAAGAAGGAGAGAAAGTTATTCATACTCAGGTAGCCCGTGCTTCCAGCTACCTATTGTTCCAGTCGTTCGCTCAACCGGTCTAGTTGCCACGTCACTAAATGGCTATAACATTGAAAATAATTTGGATTTTGAAAAATCCTTTTAGGGAGATATTTTTAATCATCAAAACTATTAAATTCTGAAAAAAACAAATTTTCGGTTTTTTTTTAAATTTATAGACCCCTTTAAATTAAAATCCAGTCTTCGACTATCTCTCGTCGCGAGCGGACGTCTCTTATCTCCAAACAGAGGTTCTCGATCGGTCACTATTTATTTTGGACCCACGTGGTTCTTATCTTTCTTAATTTTTCATCGAGTTTTGAAATAGTCTTTAATCCACTGTTTATAAAAAACAACTAAAGTATAAAAACCAATAAGGCCCATCATGGGCCCAGGGCCTCCCAACCTGGGCGACAATCGGTTTGCGCCGCTTGCCATCATTAAAAAAAAGAAGACAACCCCAAAAACTGAATATTGCATTCCCTGAACTTCCGCCTACCTCAGTTGATAATCCAAGATATATAACAATCGCCTCCATCAATACTGAAAAGACAATTTCTCAATTCTCATGCCTCGCCGTCCACTGCGCCCTTAAAATGATCTTCAAAAACATTTTGACCATTTCGAATCTTAGAGACGGAAATTTACTTATGCTACAAAAATGACAAAATTAAAATCGCTTCCACCGACGAAGTCCCGATTAAAACCCCTTCCCCGAATCCCCAGTCCCCTATCCCCACAACCCCTTATCAGCCAAAGCAATCCACTTCACTTGCTCATAACAAGTATAATACTTATAAGAAATCCATTCTGAATATGAAAGCAGCCGAGCAACATCTTTAAATCATAATAAATCAACATCACGCCATGAGTGATTCATAGTTTCGTCAATCCAAAACCAAACCAAATAACATCCTCTCTCTTTTCCCACTTATGTCCATTACACTAGTACAATGGAACATGAATGGTTACTTTAACAATTACCACGAACTACAACTTTTGATAAACAAAACCCTGCTGTTATTTGCCTTCAGGAAACACATATTAATGCCAACCTAACGAATATTGCTTACCCCAAGCAATTTTTTGGATACTTTTATAACTTTAGCTCTATTACCTATGCCAAACAAGGTGTTAGCATACTCGTACGTAAAGACATTCCCCACAAGCCCATACCAATCAACAGCAATACTTGCTCTTTAGGTATTAAAATCCTAGCCCATCCCAAAATCTGTATTTTTATACCCGTTACTCGTAGAGTAAAAGGGTATATTGTATTCGTGCAAAAGTATGTAACAGCTAGAAGGAAGCGTTTCCGACCCTATAAAGTATATATATTCTTGATCAGGGTCACTAGCCGAGTCGATATAGCCATGTCCGTCTGTCCGTCTGTCTGTCTGTCTGTCTGTCCGTATGAACGCTGAGATCTCGGAAACTATAAAAGCTAGAATATTGGCATTTTGCATGCAGATTCTAGAAGTTCCTACGCAGCGCAAAGGTGCCACGCCCCCTTTAACGCCCACAATCGCTTATATACGATTTTAAAAATTTTAATATTTCGGAAAAGTAAAAATGCAGTTTTATTGTGTTTATCAATACCTATCGAAATGTAGACGAAATTTTTCAAATCGGACCATTCGTTAAAAAGTTATGCGTGATCAAAGTTTCTATCTCCATCTCCCTCGCACTCCCTTTACCTGAGTAAGGTATCTGAAAGTCGGGGCCACCCATAAACGTTCTCTCTTTTTAATACATATATACCTCCATCTCAATTAGTAGCAGCCAACGAAATTCTAAAAATAGTAGATCTTTCTAGCAAGCCAATCCTATATGTGGGAGATTTTAATGCTTGGAGTCCATTGTGGGGATCATCTTCGCATAACTCCAGAGGGTTCCAAATAGAAGAAGTCATAAACAAAGCAACTTTAACTCTCCTCAATGACGGCTCCGCTACCCATCATTCCACTCACAACTCATTCACGGCTATTGATCTTACATTAGCCTCCGCATCGCTGTTCCCTTTCTGTAAGTGGTCCGTAAAAGACTCCCTATACGGAAGCGATCACTATCCTTTAAAGACAAAGATTCAGTTTCAAACTAATCCCATAAACATACTGCCATCTCCTAAATTTAAAATAGACAAAGCCAACTGGGATCTGTATCGCGCCAAATGCAAAGATAAATTTAATTTCCCTGCAACATACGACTTAAATCTGTTTGCCGCCAAAATAATAAAAGGAATCAAAGCCTCAGCTAATGTAGCAATCCCACAAAACAAACCCTTTCTACATCCGCGTAATGTTCCTTGGTGGAGCAAAACTCTGCAAGATCTAAGGCAACAAAAGCAATCTCTTTGGCACGCATACAAAAAAACTCAGAGCACCGCTGCTCTAATTTCTTACAGAAAATCTAATGCTCTTTTTAAATACAATGCCAAAAAAGCAAAACGGGAATCCTTTGAAAGATTCACTTCGAATATAAGCCCTCTATCATCGACCAAGAAAATTTGGTCTGACCTAAATCGCTTAATAGGTAATTTCCCAAATACCCTCAGGACAATTAAATATAACAACGAAGTTCTCCATCACTCCGTACACATTTGCGATTCATTTGGGAACTTTTGGTCGGACTACTCTAAGGACGACAATTTCTCCCACTATTACAAGACTCGTAAAGAAGAAATTCTTTCTCAGGAATACTCACCCACCAAACTGTCGACCGCTTCTACAGACCTTGACTCCAATTTTACCCTTAGTGAGCTTGAATATGCCCTTCAGTATGCGAAAGGGAAAACACCCGGTATAGACCGAATTGCATACCCAATGCTTAAACAGTTGCCCTCCGAAGCTGAATACCGCCTATTAGAAATGTATAACGCTATGCTCGCTGGGGGTACCTACCCTCATGTGTGGAAATCTGCCATAATTATCCCTATCTTAAAACCTAACAAAGCAACACACGAAATAACATCATTTAGACCTATTTCTTTACTCCCATGTTTAAGCAAGACCCTAGAAAAAATGTTAGCCAAAAGGTTAATGTGGTTCATTACAAAACAAAAACTTATCAGCCCCCACCAAACAGCTTTTAAACAACAGCATAGCACTCTTGATTCCCTTCTGCATCTCCACTATTACGCATCGGATGCCCTTTCTACCAAATCATGTTACCATATTGGCAACTGATTTTGAAAGGGCTTTCGATCGCGTTGGGGTGCATACAGTATTGGATCAACTTTCCCTACCCCCCGTAGGTCAAAAGACCTTCAACTTAGCGAAGGCTTTCATGATCAACCGTTCTATCCGAGTAAGAGTTAACAACACTCTATCTAAATTCTATATTCTCCACCATGGCATCCCACAAGGATCGCCCCTCTCTGTGGTATTGTTCATGATCGCCTTCCAGTCCTTAAATAACATAATATTAAGACATAAGCAAATTAAACTGTCAGTTTATGCAGACGATGCCATAATTTTTAGCAAATGTAAGAATAGTCCTTAATGAAATCCAAATCTGGGGTAACACCTCCGGTGCGACCCTTGCTGTAAATAAATGTAAGGTTTTCCATATTTATAAAAAAAAACAGCGTTGTACATACTCACCATTATCGTACAATGACATAGAT